GGGACTTTGGGACTATTCCAATCCCTATAATAGGAAGTCAGTTCCTTAGACTAAATCCCCTTTTGGGACAGAATCTCACTATGTAGTCCTGGCTGGTCTAGAACTCGCCTTGTAGACCAGGCTGGCGTCAAACTCTTAGAAGCCTCTGCGGTTTCCGCCTTCTGAGTTTTGGGGACTGAAGAGTCATTTGGTCCCATTTCTGTGGAAATCCCTGACTTATATAGCAGCCACTCGCCTCACTGGCTTCCTTTCTTTAATGTTCCAGCCAGTCACTCAGACAGCCACCCTGACATCTCCTCTGTCCCTCGACTCTCTAACCATCTCTTCTCTGTTTTCTGGTCTCAACATCTTTGTCCCTACCTTCTTCATCTGATTGTATAAAAGAGTACCCATTGTCATCCTCCACCATGGTCGGAGGTCCTCAACCCCACTCCTCATTTCTCCGGGTCACTCAGCCTTCCTGAATGACTTAGAGTCTGACTCGTGGATCTTTTGTGTTGTTTGTTCTGTGAGCACAAGAGGGAGGGTGTTGGCTTTCCCTCATAGCCCAGAACAGCATGGATTCTAGGAGTTCAACTAACAGCTATTAAATGAATTGCTTGCTATCTCTGCTCATTAAGCTTCTCCTTTATCCTCTGAGATAGGCACACTTACTCAGCATGTTTACAGATAAGGATACCTGGGGTTGGAGACATTGGAAGTCACATGTCCTCCTCTGCAGGGAGAGGAGTCGAAAGGGCAATAGGTGGGCCCAGGTCTGCCTGCCGTCTTTGGCAGAATGCCACCATTGACGGCATCCCTACAATGTGTGAACAGTGGGAGGCACCTGTCCCCTTGGTCAGGAGTGAGTCAGACACCTGAGTTGGGGCTGAAGTCAAATGCTGCAGCTGTTGTGTGTACAAACTCACCTAAGCTCCTGCTTAGTCCAGCCTCAGTTTCCCCATTCTCACCATAGGGATGGTCATATCAGCCTTATAAATTTTCACTCTTACCCATCTTCTGAAATCTTCCGCCTTTCCCATAGTCTCTCCTCCCAGGCCCTGCATCCCACCGAAGGACCCTTCAGCCTCTAGCTTGCAGGCACAGGTGGGAGTCACTTTTTTTTTTCTGGATGGCAAATTCTAAAGTGTTCTGGTTCCACTACTATGATAGCTACCCTTCTGTGAGCCAGTGGTGCCTTGACTCTTGTCACCCGCTGGCCAGATCCCTTGGATAATGCTGCCAAGATGGGATGGGAGAGTGGAGTCTGGTGTCACCCAGGCACACAGCAATGGCTCGTGCTGACTCCAGCACTGTTTCATCAATCCTTGGAATCAGACAGGTCTGAGTTTGAACCCCAGCTCTGTGCTCTGCTAGCTTTTTGGCTTGGGAAGGTGACATAACCTCTGGTCTTGTTTATTTCTCCTGTGAAGTATTGGGAATAATACCATGTCATATAGAGAGTGCTACCTGAGTTGTTGGAAGTGATGGTCCTTGAAGGAGCCCCTGCAGGACCTCTGTCAGCATAAATGTCCACTATTTCCTAGAATAGTTGGCATTTCCCAGGATCTCCTGTGGTTTGATGGTCACCTGGTAAGCTTCTAGACAATGGAATATGTCTTGGCTCTTTAGGGTTCCCCTATGCCTTTTCTTCCTTTACCCATCAGCTAGATGCAAAAATCTAGGAGTTCTCATGACTGTCACCTCAGTTCTCGAACTGTGGTCCCCAGACAAGATATGTGAGCCTGGATTCCATCCAAAGAGACTACACGGGGAAGCCCCAGAGGCAGAGGCCAGCAACTGGGTTTTAAAAGTCTCCAAGGAGTTTCAGATGATTGCTCCAATTAGCAAGGTTGCCTCCCTAAAAGATGGCAGAGGGAGGAGGCCTATGTTTTGGGGGTGGTACAGTACACCCTTGTTCATGTACAATTAAGCTACTGCATTTTGGGGTGCTTGTTACTTGACTGCACTGACTAAAAAGTATTTAAAAAACGGGTGCTGAGTATGTATGGAGAGTCTGGGGTATAGCAGACATGGTAGCTCTTCCTCTTGTGTGTGTGTGTGTGTGTCTATGTAGGGGTCATAGATCAACCTCAGGTATCAACCTTAGTATACTGTCCATGTTATTATTATTATTATTATTATTATTATTATTATTATTATTATTATTATTATTGATAGGGTCTCTCTACTGTGTAGCCCTGGTTGACTTGGAGCTCTGTTGACCAGGCTGCCTTCGAATTCACCACTCGCATAAGTCCTCCGAACGCTAGGATTAAAGGTGTGTGCCACCACACTCTTTTTACGTGTTTTAAATTTATATTTATTTATATTTGGGGGAGGGCACGTGGAGATCAGGGGACAACTTGCAGCTATCAATTCCCTTCTGCCACTAGTTGGGTCCCACCCTAGTGACCCACCTCAGGTCCTCTGGATTGGCAGCAAGTACTTCACCTCCCGAGCTACGTTGCTGGTCCTCCACTTCTTTTTGAGACAAGAGGGCTGACGGACCCAGAGCTCACTGATTCCGGCTAGGTCAGAGGACTGTCTCTGCTTCCCCAGCATGGAGGTTACAGTGGCAAGCCACCATGCCTTACTTTTTTATGTCATTTTTGGGGGTGGACATCAGGTGCTCAGGCTTGCATGGCAAGTAGTTTGCCTACTGAGCCTTCCCCCTCCCCCTCCCCCTTCTTTCTGAAGGTGTCAGCATGCGAGTTTGGGGAGATACTTGGGGGGGGCTACAATAGCAAGGGTCAGGCAAAAAGCCATGTATTGGAGATCTGCCTGCATTGTAGCAGCTGGAGGTGGGTGGCGGATGGCTGTTGCCCACAGTGAGTGACCTTCCTACGCAAGGTGACAGGAAGCCGGAGACAGACATCAGCCCAGCATCCTCCAATTAGCCATCATCCCTGACCCCATCAGCACTGGAGGAAGTGCTGGTACTTTCCGGCACTCAGGCCCACCTGCCTGGAGGGCTGCTGGCCTCAGCAGCTGGGATGGTGGCATCCAAAGGCCCCAGACTAACAGAGTACCGCTTATTCCAGAGTCCTGCAAAGGGTTAGTGAGTGGAGGGGGGGGAGCTGGGCATCAGAGAGGAAGTGTCTATCGAGAGCAATCACAAGAGGCCAGGTTGACCTCTTGGCCCAGCCTGGGGCTGAACAGGCCACATGTGGGCCAGGCTTCATTTTCCTGAATTTGTGGGCAGGTGGAGGTTGCAGGGGTAAGGGGTCGATTGTTCCAGGAGTTGGAGAATCCCCACTTGTCTTTGTAGCTAGAGGGAAGAATGCCTATTGCCATGGCTACCATGTATTAGGTTTGGGTGTCCTAGATGACATTTACAGTACACAAAGATGCTAGAGGACCCTGGCCACCTGGAGCACACAGCGTGGTCCCCCTTGTCACAGAATACACGGGTGGTTTGCCTGGGGTACTTGCTCGGTGTGTACCATTTCACTTCAGATTGGTCATTGTCATCATCATCATCATCATTGTCATCGCCCTCCCTCCCCCCCCCCATCACAGCAACAAGCAGTCATCTGGGTGAGATGAGCTGGAGATCTGAGCTATGTGAACTGACTCTAAGAAGGCCGTACTTTCCCTTCAAATTGTGTTAAAATGTATACAGCAGGAAGTTCACCATGCTCAGACACACAACTTAGAGTCAGTGGTGGGCCTGGGTCTCTAGCCTGGTGAGGAGATGGGAAGCAGAAGGTGTCATCTCTATGTCTGTGTGTATGTATGCATGTGTCTGTGTTATGTGTATGTGTTATGTGTCTGTGTTATGTGTGTGTGTCTGTGTGTGTCTCTGTGTTATGTATATGTGGTATGTGGTGTGTGTGTGTCTCTGTGCTATGTATATGTGGTATATGTGTGTGTGTATGTCTGTGTGCCTGTGTCTACCCAGAGTGGCACTGAGGTGGGGCCCATTCCTGGAAGCCTAGGATGCCTCACTAAAGTACCAGGACATCTGCCTCGCTCTTATATCTAGAACACTCACATGTCACCTCCGGACGTCTCTCCTCTCACACTGGCCTGATGACCCCTCCAACCTGCACATTCTCCTTCCGATTTTCCCTCTGATAAAAGCCTGACTGTTTAAACCTGCCTTTCAGTGCTTGGAGAATTCAGACTGTTACTCGTGACTTATGGGAACTCAACAGCCTCTTTTAGCCTCTTTTAGCCAGCGGGGGGGGGGGGAACTGAGGCCCAAGAGAAAGATTGTTCCAGGGTAGAGGGGAAGAGGGGCATGGATGACTGTAAGCCAACTCTAAGAGTAATCACCTCTGACCCTCACCTGGGAGGACGAAGGAGGATTCAGAGGGGACTAGGAGGTCAGCAGTTGGGGACTCTGGAGCCCATAAGGTCCACACAGAAGACAGGGCTAGAGCAGCACCCATGAGGGAGCCGCGAAAGTGGCCTGGGTCTCCAGCCTGGTGAGGGGACTAGGGTCCTGGGAGGCCGAAGGTGGTAGGAGTGTGACAGCGCCACCAGGAGTCTGGCTTTTGCTGTTGACAGAAGAGGACACCATCAGGAAGTCTTCTGTCATCAGACTTGCTCTCTAAAGCCATCGGACAAGATGAGAGAAAGCAGGGAGTGCATGGGGCTTACAGGCCACCTCAGACCATATGCTCCCTTTCAGCTGGAGCAGCAGCAGCAGCAGCATGGTGACTCATACCGGGACAGGACAATGGCACCGATAGAATGAGGATGACTTAGGAAGGGTACGTGACAACTGCCCAAGGCAAGATCTTGTGCTCCAATGGGGAGCCTAAAGAATTCCCAAGTCCTGGGTCTCTTGGCCTCTAATGTGCTCATCGAGGCTTCCTGCCTGTTGGAGCTAGGGGACGAGAGAGGACGCTCCCTACAAGAACTGTCTAACAGCACACAGACACCATGAATGGCCACAGCCCACTGGAGGTCAAAGCACAGGAGGGCAGCCCTCAACGCCCATTACCAAAATGATTTTTTTCCTAAGGCTGTTGGTAACTGTAGAGTCCAACATAGCTGTCACCATATCCCTCTGAGCCACAGTCCCTTAAAGTAACTAGTGGCAATGCCACCTTCTTCTTGGTGGTGATTAATGTATTTAAAGGGTTGTGACTATATAGCTCAGTGACAGATTACTCTCCCAGTGTGCACAAGGTCCTGGACCAGGGTGATAGGATCCCAGTACTGTAAGAGAAAAAAAAATTGAAATTACTCCAGTATAGAACATGCAGATGGGTTAAAAGACTCAAATACGTGTATTTATATTTCATACATTATTATGCAGAATACACATAAATGTATATCTACGCCACTTATGGTCGGTAGTGTGTTTGGTAACCATTGTGATAATTTTGCAAATGGATGCCACTGAAATGTTGGCTGAGGGGTATCTTCGAGCAAGGTGTCAAGCTGCCTCCTGCTAAGCCTGTGTCCCCAGCACCTCCGCTCCCCCTCCCCCACACCTGTCCTTTATAAGTGTGTAAGCACTGTCCAGCCCCATCGGGGCTCTGGGTAGGTCCCCGAAGGAGATTAACTGGGATGAATATTTCATGGTTTTGATTGACAGCTGCTGAGGACCTGTTGTGGGTCTGGCGCCCGCACTGGTTGAGGAGGGGTGGGCTCAGGAAGGGAGCTGAAGCTGTCCACCCGGCCATTGATCCACTGGGTCCAATCTACGCTGATCAAATGCTCTGCGCCCAGCTCTTTGCCCACAGCGGCACGTAATGGCCTTTAAGAAGCATGGGGCCGGTGGCAGCCCAGTCTCTTGTCTCCCTTGGGGCCCACAGAGGCACCACTAGGCCCCCAGAGACCCATTTCTCTGTCTCCAGCTGTGGTCCCCATGTCCTCATGGTGCCGGCAATATTCCCCTAAGAAAGCTAACCCAAAGCTTCCCACGCCCCAGACTGGCCATGCCATTAAGGCCTCATGCCAAGATCCCTTTGTCGGGGGACCCAGATGGCTGGGCGCCTGTCAGCCTGCAGCCTCTGCTGAGGTGAGCACAGGCCCAAGATGACCTCGGTGACCCCATGGAGATGACTCGGGCATCTACCCTTGGATGCTATCCAGGGAGGGAGAGCCTCCATGTGCTGTGGCTTTTGCACCTCTGCTGTCCCAAATGTGTCCACATTTCAAGGCACTTAACTGGCTTCTCCGTAGGTAACCGGAGTCCTGGCTGCCTCTCAGTGTCTCCACTTTGCAGAGACAGAAAGAATGTGTTTGAGCTGGGTGTGGTGGCTCTAATCCCAGCACTTGGAAGGCAGAGGCAGGAAGATGAGGAGTTCAAGGCCATCCTTGGGTACATACTGAATGTTGTTACTCCAGCCTGGCATCCTTAAGAGCCTTTTTCAAGAAACTAAAACAAGAAAGAGGGGAAGGGGGAGATGAGAAGGAAAAGGAAGAGGAGGAGGAAGAAGATGAAGGAGAAGGGGGGATCAAGGCAGAGGGAAGGGAAGAGGGAACAGGCGTGGAGGGAGGAACGGGTAAGGAGGAAGGGAGGAAAAGGAGGAGGGTGGGTGAGTCATGTGCATTCCAGGCTTAAAACTCACCCAGCAGGGCCAAGGAGACGACCCGAGTTCAATCCCCAGAAGCCACGCAAGTAGAAGGGGAGCACTGCCTTTCCTAAGTTGTCCCCTAACACCATCATGCTTATGGTTGTTCAGAGTGTGATCAGGCGCATTAGCATTTGACTGCTGTCGACAAGGAACTTGATGACTTAAAACAGGACACACTGGTCATCTTACAGTTCTGGGAGCGAGAGGTCCTGCACAGCTGTCACCATACCAAAATCAACATGTGTGTCGGACTTGCTTCCTTCTGGAGGCTCTAGGGGCTGTCCATTGCTTATCTATTACAGCTTCCAGGGGCAACTGCACCCCTTGTCCTGTGGCTTCCTCCTCCGCTTTCCCAGCCTCATGGAAGCTTCCCAGCTCTTTCTGCTTGGCTCCCATCTGCGAGCCCAGTTTGATTTGGAAATTCTCTTAATGATCTTGTGACTCTATTAGGAAGATCCATGGTTATCTCTCCACGCATGATCCTCTGCCCCACGACCTAATGTGGTCATGGGGTCTGGGATGTAGGCACCTGGGAGACTGTGATTTAGCCATGGTCTCGGACACATTAAGTTACTGACCTTAACTGTGTTCTGCTCACTCTGTGCCCTTAAACTCCGACTTCATTTCTGGGAGGTTCCAGTTCCTCCCCATGGTGGAGGATTGGAGAGGTGTGGTTTGGGGATCACTGGTAGCAGAAATGATACCTATAAAAGGGCAGACATTTCTAAGTGATATGACACCCAGTAAATGTTCACAGTTTGTGCTTACAAGGCATGCCCCTTACTGGCTGATCCATCTCCTCAGTCCAGAGAGTTTCTTAAGGAAACTCAAAGGGAAAAGGCAGGGTTGGGGCTGGGGCTGAGTGGGAGAACACTTGCCCATCATACACAGTGACTCCGGTTGAAGCCCCCTATCTTGGGACAGACCAAGATCCAATGGTCCAGCAGGAGGGTCAGGACATCTGTCATGTGATGATGGCTAAGTCATCCCTGGACTTCTCTTACTGCTGATAGAAGCCAATGGCGATTTGTATGTCCTTCTCTTCTGGCCCCGGGTGACTCCTGACCTTAGCTGGGACTCCCAGGCATGAAAAAATAATGAAGAAGTAGAAAAGGAAGCAAAGATGAAAGTATAGAACGGAGCCGTCTGTGTGTTGTCAGATAACATCACCTATTTAATGTCAATTAGTGTTTTTAACAACTGACTACTGCGCCATTAACTTGCAAAAGCGATCTTGGGGGCATGCCAGCATGCCCCAGCAGACTAGCTTGGGCAGTCCTTGAGCGCCGGGTGAGCAGAGTGGGTTCAGATTGCAGGCTGATTGCAAACTGGCATTGTTTGAGCAGGGCACAGGCTGCCAGGGGTGGGGAGTGGGTACCCGAGGAGCGAGGTATTTCACTGAGTGGATATTTATAGCAGGTCTTGGAATAAATGATCCACAGAGAGGGCAGGAGGGGTGAGGATGCTGGAGGTTGGCCAAACCTTGGGTGCTGGATCTTGCCAAGCTGAAATCTCAGTGGCTTGCTCAGTTCTGAGATCCAGGCCACCTCGTAGTAGGAAAGATAGGGGAAGCCTGTTGGGGGAGGGATTTAGGTCCAGTTCATGCCTTTGCACTTACAGTACCAAATGTGGATCTTGAACTCTTGTTTGTTTTCTGTGGACATCATCCTCTTGAATGTTAAGATGATGCCATTGTGATCCAGTTGACAATGAAGTCTCAGACCATTTTCTGTCTTTGCATTCTCTCACTATAGCAGCCACCCTTCAGTGAGTCCATCTTCTGGTATCCATGGCCTTGTATAGATCCCTCCCATGCTAACTAGGGCAGACCTGGTCACTCATAAGGGTATTGTAGATATGACACTGGCCACAACTGACACTGGGTTATGAAAGTTCTGGTGGCTTCCACCTTGCTCTCCTTTGGTTCAAAGAAGTCAGCTGCCATATTGTGAAATATGCTCAGGCAGGCTTAGGGGAAGTCCGCATGATGTAACAAAGAAGAGAGGAGTCTAGGAGAGCACCCATAGATGTCAGGTGTGGCCAGGAAGTCCCCACCCTTGCCTTCCCTGCCTCTTCACCCTGGGTCTTTGAGTAAGGCCCACAGGCTCTGGAATCGGGGAAGTCCATATGTCTTGCCCATCCTCCTTGAGAAACACACGGGAAAGAAGAGATGGGCAGGGCTGCTTTTGACCTTCCCATTCCTTGGCTTCCTCAACTAACCGGAAGATTTGGATCAACAAGCAAGGATGGACCCTCTGGCTCAGGATTCTGATGGTCAGCTGAATTTCAATCATGACATTCCTACTGGGAGCCAAAGAGGACAGTTTGGCTGTACAAGTGACAGAATGGATATCAAGAGAAGAAAGTGTCCATTCAATGTCTGGGTGTACCTAAGAACCTAGCTCTGAAGTGTCCTTAGGATGTTATATTGGAAGCTATGCTAGAGGCCTTCTGTCAGCCAGGTGGGCATATATGCCTTGATTCTGCTTAAAGCCATCCATCCCTTGCTATGGTGGCTAAGGGTTTTGTTTGTTACCTCTTTACAGAAGACAATGTTGGGTAGAGGTTTTCTCCTTCCTACCACTTCTCTCTGGTGTCTCCATCCTTGCTGACCCAGCCAGCCCTATACTTTTAAGATGCACCAAGTGCAAAAATAACCACTGAATGCTTCTCCAGGCTGGGCTGGTCATTGGGAATACAATGGTGACTAGGATAGATACAACCACACTCTCAGGAATCCTGTATCTTGTAGGAACAGGTCCTCAGGTGTCATAAACACTGCACATGGTGGCTCTTGGGTCATCTGGTGGTTGGAAGTCCAGGAACATCTCCACATGGAGGAGGTGTTGACACAAAGACTGCCCCTTAACCTGGGACCTGGGGGGGGTGGTCTTTGTTCCAAGACACGTTCTTAACCTTGTTTTGTGGTTCAGAACAAAGGGGAAAGAAGGCAGAGCTTGAAGTAGCTTGAAAAAGATGCCTTACTTACATAATTTCAAGGTCATAGAGTGAGCTAATGATTCTAATTCTGGATTTTTCCCCACATATAAAAGACTCTTTATATTGGCCTGACTCCTAATGGGAACTTATTGACACCAAAGGATCCAGAGATGAGGTGACCTCCCACTCTCTGTTGAGTGTGCATGCGCGCACGCGCGCGCGCGTGTGTGTGTGTGTGTGTGTGTGTGTGTGTGTGAGAGAGAGTGTGTGTGTGTGTGTGTGTGTGTGTGTGTGTAGAACTTTGGTATGCAACTCTCCATCAGGATGGGCATTCTGTCTGTTGGTAGACTATTACATACAAAAATCTCAGGAAGGCCTCCAATTGGTCTGGCCGGTATCATCACGGATGAGCTGTGAGTGACAGCAGCCCCAATCAGAACTTCAGGGAAGGAGTAAGGAAGCATTTACCCAAGGAAACCTTCATAATTTCACCAGATGAGGAGAGAGCTATATGAAACACCATCTTATTCCCCACTTCAATCTACCTAGCTCAACACTCACACTGGTGAGTGTTGGCCAAACCTTGCAATGACTTTTACTGTCCCATACACATCAAATGTCACACGTAGTAGGGGGCAATGTGGCCGTGTTTAAAGTATGTGAGCTCATTTTCTGTTTTAGACAGATGCTCTTGAAGAACAGATGTCTCATGAGCAATGGTGGCTCACACCTTTAATCCCAGCACTCAGCAGGCAGTGAACAGGTGGATCTCAGTGAATTTAAGGCTAACCTGATCTAGAGTTGGGCAGTCAGGACTGTTACACAGAGGAACCTCATACAAAACAAAGCAACACAAAACAAACAAGAAGTCCAGTTGTCTCACGAACTAAGTGTTGGGTTTGTGGGTGCAGTGTGCACCCCAGTCATTTAGAGATACGGTGAAAATGCAGACTCGGGTTTGGGAGGTCTGGGACATGACGGCCTTCTGTATCTATAAAGCCCCCAAGATGCTCACATCACCCAGTCATGGAGCACTCCTCTTGTAGCATGGCTTCATATTAACCTGCCTTTGGAGCTAGGCAAGGTGCAAGAGAGACAATGATCCGTTTAAACAGAATGAAGGCACTACACAGTGTCAGACATGGTGGGGAGTCCAGTATGTGTTTTTCCCTTTAGACACTCCTGTCTAGTTTTGATGACCAGGAGAGCCCTCTCTCTGTATATGTCTGCTTGCTTATGCCAAGAACTCCCCACTTCCCTGAACTTCTGTTTCCAATTCAATGCATTGAATAGCGGAGCTGTGTGGCAGCCTTCAGAGGACCCCAAGAAAGAGTTAAGCCTTTAGGACACACAGTCTGGCAGTCTCAGGCAGATGTGGAAGGGGTTGACCTGGCCCCAAGGGTTAATACTATTTTGTTTACCAGGATTATATGTTACATCAGGTTAGAGCAGGCAGGAGGTCATAGGGGTCAGCCGCCCCTGTCTCTGCCCCCCCTTCCCTGCTGTCTCCTCCATTTCCAGCTTTGCTACCTCCTTTAATCCGATGACCCCAGACACTAAGCCTTCCTTGAGGTTTTCTTGCCAGGGCCCTCAGACTCCTTGCAGCCGACGCCAGCCGTCTCTCCCTGCCGGGCCCTCAGAGGCCAGTGTGCACACTAAAAGGCACTTTGTGTGTGCGAGGAGATCGGCCACTGCAATTTGCGCTGTGGTTTCTTTGGCCAGGAGCAGATGGGAAAGGGCCCTCTGCCCTCTTGCTTTTTCTCGCTTTTATTCCTGTCCTATAACATTTTCCCTCTTTTCCTGCTTCTAATCCTGTCTTTCTTTTCCTTTTTTAACATCTCCTTTATTTGGGTAGGGGCAGATTTTCGCCTCCCCCTCCCCTTTTCTTCTTTCATTTAATTTTCATCTCATGAAACAGGTAGTAACAGCGCGGGTCTTGAAGGAAGTTTGAGTGAGTGTCAAATCTCAGCTCTGCACCCTGAGTTTAGAAGGTTCTTCACTCTCTCACAGCCTCAGTTTCCTTTTTACAGAGCCCAACCCTTTGAATTCACTGTCAAGAGTTGACCACAAATGTATACCAACATCTGGTTTGGTATACATCCAGTGCCAAATAAATACAAATCTATACATGTACTGGGTTTTTTCTCTGTTCTGCTTATCCTCTCCACTTACCTATGTTTCTTTTAATGACTCCTCCAATCCTGTCTCTGGAAGACTCTCTCTACAGGCTGGAAAAGGCATTTGTGTTTTATAACAAGAACCTCATCGGGGCTTGAGAGGCAACTCTGGGCAAGGGAATGCTGCTCATGTAGAGAACTAGAGTACAGGTCCTAGTACCCATGGCTGATGGCTCACAGCCACATGGGACTCCAGCTTTGAGGAATTCAGTGAATCTTCTGGACTTTACAGGAGCTGTGCATGTATGTTCATGCACATGTGTGTATGCACATGCATATGCACGTGCACACACATGCGTGCACACACATGCACACACACACAATTAAAAATAAACTAAATCTTTGAAAAGAGAAAGAGAACCTGGTCTACTCTTCAGGAGCTATGAAGCCACAGGTGGGGCCTCCAAACTCCTTGCTCTAGACTCCCATCCTCAGCACCACAGCCATGGGAGTGCTTCTCCTGCAGGGCCACATGAACATTAACCAATCAAGGTTGTAGTAGATAAAAGCTTTGTGGCTGTAATTTCATCTCCATCCTGTCATTGAGTACCTCTCAGCTAGGCCTTGTTATCACTGCCACTGATGGTACTTGTGTATGTGTGTGCTACTAGAACGTCACCACTAACTCCCTACTTGGCCATGTGTACATCCATTTGCTATTTACCATCCATCCAACCTCCAGTTATAGCTGTCCATCCATCTTTTCAACCTGCATCTAGCCAACTTTTCATCCAATCTTCAACCATCTATCTATCCTCTATCTAGTCATCCATTGGCCATCCATCCAGTGTCCTCTGTTGGTCTATCTATCCATCCACTCTTCCATGCAGTTATCAATTTATTTATTTATCCATTAATCTTCCATCCATCTATCCATCTAGCCTCCATCTCTCGATTTATCTATTCACTGACCATGCAACCAGCATCGTCTGTCTATCTGTCTATCCCCCAACAATCATCCGTCCATCCATCCATCGATCCACCCATGATGTAGCAACCCATACATACATGCAATGTTGATCTATTTCATTTATCACCCAGCCAGCCATCATCCCCCATCCATCCATCCATCCATGCATCCATGCATCCATCCGCCCATCTGCCCATGATCTATTTATTCATGTATCTACCCATCCATGCATGCAATTGTTGATCTATTTATTCATCCATCCATCCACCCACCCACCCACCCATTGTTCGTCCCTTCAAAGTCAATCAATCAAACAAACTAACATATCTACTATCCATCCATTTGTTGGCCATCTATCTACCCACTAATCTCTCTGTCCATCATTACATCCATCTGTCTACTCAGCTTCCAATAATCCAGTGGGTCATTTGACAATTCATCTATACATTCACTCATCTTTTTGGCAACCACCCATTTATTTATTCAGACTGGTTGTATAATAAATGTGATTGGTCTAAGTGATAATGTCTCATAAAATCCCATTTGATTGCTCCAGAACCATAGAAATAGAAAAAGCATGATTTTGGAGACACAGATCCTTCCATCCAGCTTCCTTCTAAAGAAGGATGATCTTGGAGATGGGAGGTATGTTGGGCTTCTATAAAATGAAGAGGTAAAAGCTTATTCAGTGATTGTTATATGCCAGTCAATCTGCTTACCTTTAAATGGATGTTCTCTTTAAGTCCCCAAACACAAGGCTAAGAGACATCAATACAGTTACTCAGATCCACAAAGCAGTTACACTGAGAGTGGGAATTTGAACCCAAGAATAATCACAAAACATAGCCTGTGGAGAAAGCTACTTACTTGATAGATGGTGACCAGTGGAACACTGGAGAAG